CCACCTTTCCACCCACCAGTCCCCCCAAGTCCCTCTGGGCAGGGTTGCTCTCAATCCCTTCTTCCCCCAGCCTGTATGGATACCGGGGGTTGCCCCGACCCAGGGGCAGGACCTTGCACTTGGCCTTGTTGGACCTCATGAGGTTCACACCGGCCCAACTCTCCAGCTTGTCCAGGTCTCTTTGGATGACATCCCATCCTTCTGGTGTGTCAACAGCACCACTCAGCTTGGTGTCATTTGCAAACTTGCTGAGGGTGCACTCGATCTCGCTGTCTTGGTCATTGATGAATATATTAAACAGCACCGGTCCCAGTATGGACCCCTGAGAGATGATGGTGCACACCAGCAGAGCAGCTCATCTGCTTTCTGATAGACACCCAGGCTCTGACCAGCACTAAAACCCTGCAGGCTCTTGACATGGGGGACACCAGGAGATGTCCCTCCTCCCTCACCTGGGCAGCTCCCCTGGGCTCGAGCTGAGGGGAGCCAGTGGTGCCGGCTCCTGGTTCTCTGCCTCCCGGGCAGCGTCCTCATAGGCACGAAGCTTCGCCCGCAGATCTGACACCTGCAAGGAAGGATCATCTGTTGCTCAGACGGTTTCATGACCCCCAGGAGCTCAGAGGTCCGCATCCCAAGCAAACCACGGCTAAAGACAGAGCCCTGCCATCCCCACCAGCATCTCACCTCTGCTTTCAGCTGCTCACAGATCACAGCGTATTTACTGACATGGCAGTCAAAGCTGAGCACATTGCTCTTCAGCTGCAGAGACAGAGACAAGGAAGGGGTTAAAGAAGCACTGGGCAGCACATACCCATCTCCTGATGCTGGAGCAGCACAGCTACTCATACTCCTCCAGGGTCCCCAGGGCAGCTGCAGTGGACATGATCTGTGCTCTGGGACCCACTGTCCCAGTCACGAGCCTTTCTGGGCTCTGGGCTGAGGAGCTTTAACAGAAGACTAGGCACACAGTGTCTGCAGCTTCATCAGCTGCTTTCTGCCCAAAGCAGCACCCCCAGAGCTGAAAAACTCAAGCTGGAGAAAGGAGGCACCCACTAATCTACCCCACCATGCACCAGGCTCCTTCCCACCCATTCCCAGCAGCTCCCAAACACACAGCAGATTGCTGCTGCAATGCAAGGTCCTCACCGACAGCTTGATCTCCTTGGCCCGGTTGGCGTACTTGAGTGTGTTGTAAGTGTCCTCATAGGCCAGTGTGGAGGGACTCACAGCAGCAATCATGATGGTGCGGCAGTTGCCACCAATGGAGTCCTTCAGCAAGCGCGTGAGCTTGCTGTCCCGGTATGGGATGTGGGTTTTCTTGCTCTGTGCCAAGAGGTAAAGGGTCTGCTCAGCTTTTGGCCCTTGGGCACTCAGCTCCAAATCCTGTGCCGCAAGGGGACAGCCACCCTCATCCCACGGCACCGCTCAGAGCCCAGCCCAGGCTGCCATCCTCACCGACCATCACTTGAGTGACCTCACAGTCACCCACCCCGGTGAGCCAGAGCCCAGCAGGGCCACACACACTGTGTTACCTTGGCATCAGCCAGCGCGTTGATGACATTTATGAGGGCCAACAGTGAGCGGTTGATGTTGGCACCCTCCCGGAGCCGCTCTCCCTTGGTGTTGGTGACTGAAGCTCGCTCTGAACCTGCCAGGTCAATCAAGCTCATCTTGGCCACTTGCAGATCCCGAGTGAGGCCACCAACACGGTCCTGCTGCTTCACATAGATCTGCAAGGACAGGGATTGGTGAGGTTACAGCTCAACAAGGCACGCAGGGTTGCTGGCTGGAGCCAGCATCACCAGCTTCAATGTTATAAAATGATGGTGAAGAGGCTGTGAGATCAAGCAGGGGGAAAAGAGTAGCCTGGCTTGCCAAGAAGCCACCAAAAGCTTGGCGGTGACACTAGTAGCAAATCCACAGAAGGGTTCATGCAACAAGTGACAGAGCTACAGAAAATAATCAGCATCTCCTATGCTTGGCGAGTGAGTGGGGTACAGCTGGTCGGGTCTCCAAAGGGCAACACACCAACCCAGAGCCCCGGTGTGACCCAGGAAGCACTCACACACAGTGGCAGCCCCAGCCCCGACTCCAACTGTGGATTTTGCCAGCAAACTCAGACGCCAACAGGGGCTGCAAGCCCCCAGATACAATCTGACAGTACCCCCAGGGAGGCATCCAGCCAGGGCTTTCAGTGCCGAGCCCAGTTCCTGGCTGGTGTGGACAAGAAGGGACACAGCCACAGCAACTCACCTGGCAGCATCGCTCCATAACTTCCTCTCTGCATCCCTAAAGATCTCCAAGGAGAAGAAAACACTTCCCTCACTGCCCTACAACACCCTCAGCCCCCCCAGAGCAACTCCTGGAGGTGCCACAGAGATACTGGAGGCCAGTAACTGGTCCTGCATCCTCACCAGAACATGGTTTGCCTGCTGGGAGACAGAGCCAGCAGTGGGAATGGCAGATTTCCAGCACAGCTAATGGATTCACGGCAGGCAGGAATCCAGTACCCACCGACAAGCCCAGCTGGGAAGCTGGCTGGGAAAGCATCCAGACACCTGGACTTCCCCCCCACAAGCAGTAACAGGCAAGGCACCACTCAGAGTGAAATTAAAGTCAGAGCCGTCCATCTCCCCACACAGCCGTGACAGCCCTGCTAATTCAGGGAAGGGCCTGGCTGGAATTGAAATCAACCAGTAGGTTTGCATAGGAGAGCACTGAGAACCCGGAGGGGCAAATTTACAGACCCCCAGGGGAGCATAATTCCTGGCTCAGCACTGAGGGGGACATGACAGAGGAGACTGCCTGCCCATGGCACCTGGGGCGAGGCACAAGCAAAAACCAGTGATAATCGGCCTCCTTTACTCTGGGCCAGGATTTAGGTACAGCTCCCACATGCTAAGTCAACAAAAGTCAACAGTACAAAGTAAAATTTCAGCCCCTGGGAGACATAACATCAAGCTGGGACTACAGGGCTGTCCAGCGGACGTGGCCACCAGAGTGACCAGTACATGCTGTCCTGCTGCAGCACAGGACAGTGGCCTGCCCAACCCTGTATGTCTTTTCAGAGCCACAACCACTCCGGTTTTCACCGTGGCACACCAGAAGCAGCAGCAGAAATCCCACAATGCTGGTCCCAGCATGGGCTTGCTCCCTAGCCCCCTTTTCAGCACAAATCCTGAGGGATATCACAGCCACCAGCCCTTACCTGGAAGACAGCGTGCGAGCGGGAGGAGGTGGCATTGGCATCAGTGGGATGCTGCGTCCGGTTTTTGTTGCCGTTGGCCAACATCTCCAGGAGCTGCTCTGCTGATGTGGGCTGGGAGAGAACGGGAGGTGTCAGTGCACCCTGTACGCAGGCACCAAGACAACCCAACACCAAGCAGCCACAGCGACTCAGGCTAAGAGATCCCACAGCTCTGTGGGGCTTGTTTCAGCTCAGGATCATGTTTGCTGCCAGCCAGGAGCCCCATAGACAGCACCCCTGTGTCTTCACATGCATCCATGTCCCCAGGACACCCATCTGCTTTCAGACCTGGTGTAGGCATAGTGCTGTCCAGACCTTGTGACCATTTTTATACCCACCTGGTGGAAGGAGAGACCCTGAACCACGACTCCTTTCTCGGGATCCTCCCGGATGGCCAGAGGGCCCTTGGGCTCCAGCAGGTCGTGAATCTGTTCATTGTACACCTGAAGCAGGGAACTTGTTGTAAGGCTGAGGTGCAGTTCCCCAGCAGCGAGCAGGGAGAAGAGCTTTGTACCCCAGGGTCACACACAACCTGGTGTCCCTCCCAACACCACCTCCGCGACCTTGTTACACTGGGAGCAGCTGACAGTGCTCAGGAGGGCTTTACTGGCAATCACTGTGCCACTGCTTCTCTAAAGCCCTTTCAACCAGGAAGCCCTAATTGCTGTGAGGACCACAGCAAGGAAGAGAAAATTCCCCAATTCCAGACAGAAGAAACCAGCAGCACCAGTTCACTGAACCAGGTGGCTGAGCTTGCTTCCAGTTAGGCTCTCGGGCTGCCCTGAGGATACTGGGCACAGCTGGCAGCACAGCAGGTACCCCAAGCATGGCACTACGGGGTCCAGATCAACCCCAAATCCTAGTGACGGTGACCTCAAGGCAGGAGGGGACGTGGCTCGGCCACAGTGTACCTCCTGGTAGGAGACCAGGACCTCACAGCTCTTCTCCTCCCTTCTGGCCTCGATCCTCTTGTACAGCTCCACCATGGTGAGGTACATGATGCCAGGGCTTTCCTCCGAGCCCAGCATGGTGTAGGTTTTTCCTGCTCCCGTCGCGCCATAGGCAAACACTGGGAGGAGAAAGGGTAGATGGTTGAAACGATGATTAATTAACAGAAGCAGCATAAAGTCTGCTCCTTGCTGGAGAGGAGAGTTTCCCACAGCAACCCCTGTGGCAGGGGTCGCTTGCAGGCTTCATGGAGCTGAGGCAAAGCTAATTATCCTGTGTGCTGGCTGCACTATCCTTTAGTGCAATTTTTTTTCCTTATTTCAGCCTCTCTAATTTAGTAGACAGAAACAGAGCAAGTCCCCAAACCATCACCCACTTGAAGACCATGCTCAAGTCACCCCTGAACCTTCCCTTTAACAAGCCGAGCAGCCCCATTACCCTGTCTCTTACCAGAAGGTGTTTCTTCTTCCGGACCTTGTAATTCATCTCATTTTTCCCCACCTATCTTTCAACACCCTCTTTGAAGCATCACCATCAGAGCAGGACACACTAATCTAGAGAGCCTCAGCCCTTTTCCCCATTAGCAGCACTCGGTGCTTCGTGACTCTCTCATTTCAGGATCCTGGAGTTATTTTATGCAGATAGAGACACAAGACATGCCTGCCAGGTGGGCACACTGACAGAGGCAGCCTTCAGCGGCTTGCAGAGCGTGCTGGAGAGCCAGGAATAGCATCCTCCGGTCCCACTGCCCAGCCCAGCGCATGATTAGACAGGAGAGCGGTCGTCTCCCGCTCAGTGACTGCCTTGCAGAAGGGATGTGCTCGTTAAGCTGCTCATCTGCTGACAGCCTGTGAACGGCACGAGGGTCTGTGGCATCAGGCAATGAGCTTTCAGACCCAGTGAAGAGCTTTCCAGACCCAGCTTTATGGCACTGCCAGCCTGGGAGATGCTCATGAGGGTCACAGCAGCCCCCAAAGCACCCCAAGATGTGCCTGCTTCACCCCAGATCCCGCTCCAAAACTCAGCATCCTCCCAAAGTTCTGCCCATCACAACCATTCAGGATAGGAAGGGATGGCAAAACCAAGGTGCCCTTGTGTCACAGATCCACCTGATTTCTTCCCATCCTTCCTGCCCCAGGAGAGCAGAGAACAAGTGATCCTCATCCCTCAAAATGCCTGGGAAGCACCTGCCCAGCCTCATTTTCTACCCCAACGCCCACCTCCATCCTCTACATCACGTCTCCTAAAGCACCAAACGCTGTTGTGGCCCCCGTTATCGCAGAACCAAAGAACAGCCCAGGCTGGGAGGAACCTGGAGAGATCATCTGGTACAAGCTTTCGCAGGAAAGGGAGCCTGTATGAGATTATCTCACGCCCTGCCCAGACGCATCTTGCACACCTCCAGCTGCAGGGACTCCACTACATCCCCAAGGATGCTGTTCCAATGAATGTTCTCACCATAAAAATGTCTTTCTTACACTGAGATGAAACCTCTACCAGTGAAACAAGTACCTGTTACCCCTTGCCTTCTCCTTATGACAAGAGAGCCTCCATCCTCTCTGTAGCTGCCCTTTAAGTACTGAAAAACCAATGAGGTTCCCCCTGGTGGGTAATAGTTTTTAACTGACAGAGGGCAGTTTTAGGTGGGACATAAGGAAGAAATGTTTTATGATGAGGGTGGTAGAGGTTGCCCAGAGAAATTGTGGCTGCTCCATCATTGGAAGCATTCAAGGCCAGGTTGGACAGGGCTCTGAGCAACCTGATCCAGTGGGAAATGTCCCTGACCATGGCAGGGGATGGCCTGGATGATCTTCCAAAGTCCCTTCCAACCCTAACCACTCTATAATTCTATAAGAACGCTGCATGTTTTGCTTTCCCTCATTTACCTGCCGAGATCAGACAACATTTCCATGTCAGGAACATCCCCATCCTGACCACACTTGCAATTGCCCCAGATTAGTGCCACCAAGCTTAAGGCTATTTGTTCTTGTGTTGCTGTTGGGTCCCCCCTCTCCCCAATTGCTCAGGGGCTTCCAGAATTAATCCACAGCTCTGCTGAGCCCACACAGTTGAGGACCAGATGGGGCAGGAGCTCCTGCAGGCATCAAAGGCTCTCGCCAGGTCTTACCAGAGCAGTTGTAGCCATTGAGGACGCTGTCCAACAGGTCACGGGTGGTGTGCTGGAACACCTCCTCTTGCGTGGCCCCCTCCCCAAAAACCCAGTCAAAGACAAACTTCAGGTCCTTGCCATGGTGCTTGGGCCCACGGGTGGGCAGTACACTGCTGGGGGGGCCGCTGGGGTCCTCAGGGTCAAAGACGAGGATGTGCTGGTCGACAACGTGCAGGACAGGGTGCACAGCCCGCTCTCGCTCACAGGGAGCGGGGGGCCGCACACGCACCATGACGGCCACGGTGCCCTCCTCAGGCGGGGGGCCCAGCACCATGGCAACAGGGGGGAGCTGGGTTGGGGACACGGTGCTGACTAGAGGACACAGCTCTGGGCTCAAACGTCCTGAGGGCCTCACGCACTCTGGGTGGAGGAAAATGGATCAGCCGGGAGGGTGAAACAGTGAGAGGGGAGCCTGAGGCTGGGGAAGGGGGCCCCCCCCCCCC